AGTCTAAGATGATCGGGTCTACCGGGCCCAATGTAAAGGAATAAGTGTAAACACTTAGATATCCCTCGACATGGGTGGTAATGGCCTCTTCGGGGTCGGGGACCACTATGTCTTTGTCGGCCCAATTGCAGTCCTTTCGGACCGTGGGGATGACCTTTTCGGTGATTGAGCAGATAAATCTCGATGCATCTTCACCACGACCCTGCACTGGGGAGGGTTTCTCGACCTTGAAATAGTCAGCGATCGAATAGCCACCGAGATGAACATCTTCAAGGGGGCTCTTCCGCCGATTCATCAACAACCGTATCGAGGACGGTCTCCTCGACCTCAGTGGTTGGTTTCGAAGAAGAGGGAGTATCCTTCTGAGGAACAGATTTTGAGGTTTTTCCCATTGTTATGGAAGAAAAAGATTGGAAAAAGATGGAGAAAGATTGAAAGTTGAAAGATCAGACTTGTTGGCTTGAGTAGGAGATGAGTAAAATTTTTTGCAAAGTACTGAAGAACCTTGAGTAACGGAGATAAAAACGCTAGAAATTATTGAAATCCTGAAGGTACGAAGGTAGAAGTTTTAGTGTAAAGTGAAAATTGGACAGAGGAGGAGGTATTTATAGGAGTTCAGCGACGTTTTGCATCCAGGAACAGTTGACCGGCAGCTGACATGCATTTAATGCTATTATGACATGACTGACGAGACGTTTAAGGTGTTTTGTCATTTCTGCCGCAATATGTCGAAGTAAGAATCAGGAACTCATGTCGTTTCTCGTCATTCACTCTCCGATAAACGAGGGGACTATCTATATACGGGTAAAACCGGGCTATTGATATACCCTGGTCTCCGACAAAATAAGCCAAGCTCGAGGCATGATGACAAAATAAGCCAAACTTGATTTTGAGGGTAAACACACTTGTCATACATGCAACCTCCCCAATTGCCTATAAATAGGTTGTGGATTAGCCATCATACTTACTCAATTCTCAACCAAGAATTCATCTTGCTAATCATTACTTTCTTCCTTCAATCATTACCTATTATTATCAATTCTTCTCTCTAATTTTCTGAACCTGCTGGATTTATTATTTAATTTTGCTGATTCTTGTATCCTCTAAATAAATAGAGGTATGCTTGTTTAATCCTGTGAAAATATTTCACATTGCTGAAATAGTTTCTTAGGATAGTGCCTAGTAGGACTCAAGCCAATTCATGTATTTGCTCATAAATAATATTATTAAAGTATCGTTGTCATTTTCCGGTGTTATTTCCCTACAACTCTTACCCCTAGAAAATTATTTGAGAAGGAAGTCTCTACTTAACATTCAAGTTGAGGAAAAACACATGTTTAGATTAGAAAATAAGACAACCTTGTTACAAAATTGATAACAACCTCAGTTAAACTGATCCAATCTTCATTAATTGGAGTTCTTTTTCCTATATCTAAACTCATTAGACCAACTAATTTAAATTCGTATCGTATAGGTCTATTAAAGAGATAGTAAAACATTCTTATTTAAAGCTTCTTTATTTGCATATTCGAACCGAAACTTTTGATTAAGGATAAATGATTCCAACTGTTGGATCAGTTATTCAAAACGCCATAGTCATTAAGAGGCAAAAGGAAGCGAACTAAAGATAAGTAAAGCATTGGAGTAATGTTTTTCTAATTAGCTGGCATAGTGGACTGTTAGAGGGAGGAAGGTGACTAACATAATTAACATTATTAATTCTTCCAAGAACTTCTTTAACTATATATTACAATTGTTAATATGTACAGATAAAGTGAATAACCGTGTTTTAAAAGGAAACATGCTCGAAAAGTATGGAAGGAATAGAATAAAAAGGATATAACTAAATAATGATAATGAAAACACTTAAATGTGAGTTGAACCATAGAGAGGAAAGAAAGAATGTGACTTTCTACAAAAGGTGCAATAACAGCAAAGGATGATCAATTAAACAAGTGGGAAAGATAAGCACTTGCACCAATTGACTTGCCAACTAGGTTTCACCTCACTCTATGCTTAGCAAAGGATGATCAATCAAACAAGTGTGTGAAGGATAAGCACTTGCACCATTTGACTAGCAAATTAGGTTTCACCTCACTCTATGCTTAGCTCTTTAATCTGTCTTTTTTTTTTTTAAATAAAAAAAGAATTTACTTATAACTATTTGGTACCCATTATCTAAAACTGTCTGACTAATCCAAATTGGCATCGCGTAGAATTTATTATGGGCGAAGAACTTTCTATAAGGAATTTTATAAATTAGCAATGAAAGCGGGGTATAAAGGAGTAGCATCCAAGCTTTATACATTATCCAAATTTGTACATTATAATTTCCCCCGGCTATTTAAGCAACGTCTCTCAACCAAAGTGTATGTATCCTTTCTGAAATTTTGGAGTACCCCCCACAAAATAAAAAAAATAAATAAAAAAGCATATGATCATGTACTACGTGGATAATAGATCTTAGAAGGCATAATGTTTTTTTTCTTTATAAATTCTGAAAAAATAAACAAACAATTCTTTTATCTGATTCAATTTATATGAATATTTTCGGAGTACTCAGGTCAAATTAACTAACTTTCGATGTGAATTTAGACATAAATGTTTTATTTTATTTTTTTGAAATAAAATTTACATATTTAGAACCTACATCAAAAATATGCCACAATAGTTAATAATTCAAAATATTTAAACGTATTTTTAAGAAAAGAAAATCTTGTTTAATTCCTAAATACTAAATAGTAATAGGTTCGCATAAATTAAAAATATAGGAGTATATAAATACAAAACAATTAAGGAAGTAAGTGACGCCATTGATAACTTAGACCCTACCCAGGTGAACCTAACTCTCATACTTAACAACGTTTAATTATCTCCTGCAAAATTGGACTTAATTTATATATTAATGATAATATACATATGTTTTTGTGTTATTAGTATAGTTTAATCTATTATAACAAAATTAATAATTTTTCATCAGATTACCAGTTAAAATCAATCACAAAAAAATTATTCATAATTACTTTGTTAATAATCTGATTAGTTAAATCTTCTTTACATGGTCAATAGATAGAATTTAAACCCAACCAAACAAAGTCAGCTCTGTCATTAAAGAACCGATACAATTATACAATCACCAGCGCATAAATACGTTAGAAACACTCATTTAAGAACAGAGTTTCAATTCTGGGTGTTAACACATTGACATGATTTTTTGATCTTTCGTTGACTTTCCCCTTTCATCTTCCTCTCCTTTTTTTAACTAGAAAGAAGAAACAAACTTATCAAAAAACATAAGCATACATAATATAGCATCAAGGATTATCGTGGAGTGGTAAGTATTCTTTGTTTCTTAACTAAAACATTTGCATATTTAAGTCTTGGGGATAGAGTCGCTCAGTGGCATGATTTTCGCTAAAGGGGTTCAAAAAAGAAAAATTTTAAAAAATAAAAATGATTGTCGCCAACGGAATTGAACCAATAACCTCACAAAGGTTTTGAANATATATAGAGAGAGAGAGAGAGAGGTACAAAATAGATTTTGCCTTAGATGTACAGTGTAATTTTTTGACGAAAGAGGTTCGGGAGAATCCCCACACACACCTAAATCCACCCCGGAGTCGCCCTTATTACGCATTACTTTACTTCCAATATTGAATTTTCCGGCGTGAAATCCAAATTTAGTCAGCTCCAATATAAATATCAAACGGGGAATGAGAAACCAAAAGAATAACCACACCTAGCTAATATTTATGTGTCTGGATATACATCTAAGTTACGTGTCTTTGCATGTTAGAGTTCTGTCTGCGTAAGAAACAAATAAATTAAAGATGAAGATTAATTATAAAAGAGACTTTTGCCTGACGTGTTAGGTTGGTAACTCGGTTATTTTCAAACCCAAAATACATGTTGCAGTTGAAGAAAAGAAAAAGATGGAGTCTTGCAAATAAAGTATCTGTCTTTCTTATCATCGTAACGTAATAAACACTTGGAATTTGGAAATTAATTGTTTATTTACTGAATAGGGAAAGTTGACTTCCTTGAACTACATGTGTTTGTTTTGTTGTCAATTCATGGTAATAAACTGTTATTTCCTGATTGGGTAGGCAAGTTTGTGATACCTTCCAAACAGGCACGTGGAGTCTAGTTCTATAGGTTCAAACCGAATCCAATATTTTCTACACAAAATATGTACCTAAGGTAAAAGATTATTAACCTAAAGTTTGGATGTAAATTTAGTTAAAACTTGAAAAAAGAGCCTTTGAAATTTGTGTTGAAAAATAATTTTTGTAAGTTGAAGTTGTATTTACACATACATTTTATTTATAAAAAAACTTGAAATTTTGTGAGTTGAAGAAAAACATTCACCCAAAACCTGAAAAAAAATTCAAAATCTTTTTAAAAACTGATCATGTTCCATGAACAAATAGTATTTTCAAAAACGAAAATGAAAAAATATACCCAAATCTATGGTTAAACGAGTGCTAAAATTGTGGAGCATATTTTTGTCCCAATATATAAGGCACTTTTCTGTTTCTATGCTAAAATGAATGATTCATCTTTATAGTTAAAACTAATTTAACTTTAAATTTTTATTTAATCCTTAATCAGATGAATTATATTCACACTAATATTTATAATTTATTTTAGATTATTAGTTTCAAAATACTTTGTATCTAATCAAACTATCACATAAAATGGGACAAATAATAAATTAAATTCTAAAACAATAATTTAAAAGTGTTATGCATTAGTGGTAAAAATAGAGGTGCACGTATCTTTGTCCAATGAGATTCAATTTATATCCTTTCGTCGAAAAAATTATATTGTGCAGACAAATCAATTCTTTTTATGAATATGACTATATGTTAAATTCCTTAACTTATTACTTCATATTTTGTTTTGTATTTTAAAGTCTCTTAATAAAAATCTTGACTTCTATATTGCTTAAAAACAGAACCCATTAAATTTAAATTCTGTACCGAAAACTTCCAAACGGCTCCTTTATATCAGCCCCTGTTCCTTCAGCTCCTCATTCAGCAAATTTGCCTTGTTTTCTGGGTCAATCCTATTTTTCTTTTACAGAGATCAACTTGCTTTAAATTTTTTTAATCCCTCTCAACGTTTGCTTTGACAACTGTTTTATTGAACTCCTAGAACTTTATTGTTAAATGTGGTTTGTGTTTTCTCTTTGGTAATATCCAATTTCCAACTAATTAGGACCAACCCTCCTCTTGTTTACGCTGTTTCTAGATATACACCACTTGTATTTTTTGGTTCTAGCTGTGCATATTGAATTGCTGGAAAATATGGGTGCTGAAAATCAAAGCTTAAATAGAGAATTTGGAGAAAAGGGTGTTGAAAAGATCTCTGTTTCTGATCATATTAATGGATTAAAGTGCACAAGCTCAAAATCAGAGAGCTTTGTTGTGAATATGGAAACCATATCTCATCTTGTGGAGAAAGAAATCAGTGGAAATTCAAGAATTACTGTAAGTTAATTTCATCTTCCTTTCTCTTTTTAATGTTTTCATCTTCGTAACATTGAGGGGATCCTTTCAGCAACGGTAAAGTTGTCTGACCTCTAAGTTATAATTTAGAACAGTTGAATCAGTCACTTTTGCTTGCATTAGAGTACACTGCCTACATCTGACCCCTTGAGTGCGGCTCTTTCCCTGGATTCTACGAGAACCCGAGATACTTCATGCACCTACATCTGCCCTTGAGTGCGGCTCTTTCCCTGAACCCTACGAGAACCCGAAATACTTCATGCACCAAGCATCTTAAAAACATTATGTCAATACAAATTAGTCTTAACTACTAAATTCCTTTTGACAATATTAAGGGAAGAACTCATGATTAGTTTTCCAACTTCGATCTTGGTCTAATTCAAAAATGAATTCCCTTTTTTAAGCAAGAAAACTTGTAGAGGGAAAAAGGTGTATTCTTCATTAATAATGGTTCTTTTTTTTTTTTTGGGGGGGGGGGGGGGTTTTTTTTTT